TGTCACTGACAAAGATGTTGAATAGCACCGGGTCAAGCCTCAGAAACGGAAAGAATGAATCTGGTGCTGTACAAACATCATTAGCAATTGATTTCTTCCACTGGTTAAAAAAAAAAGAATTATTGTTAGGGTTTGATTTGTTTAGTGTCTGTCGGCAGCCAGTGAGGCTTTACAGTGTGTCTGGGAATAGAAGCACCAATTAGCAAAGTTATTTATGAGTGGGTTTAAAGCTTCTGCTGGAGGAAAACAACTGTTTGGCAGTTCTAATTCTAATAAAACAGTTGAGGGAAGAAGCAAGGTTTTATTCTGTTACTTTTTTTTTTAACGTCATATTTAGAACAGTTGGTAAAATGATGGGAACTGTGACATGGATTAAATAAACTTTGTGTCTTCTGATGTGGGCATCAGTTGTTCAGCAATATCAGATGTGCAGTCAGTACCAGTAAAATGAAAAACATCCCCGTAGCTTAAAGGAAATGTGTATTGTAATGTGTTGTCTGGCTCTCCCATTTTTTCCAGGAAAGTGATGTGGCTGGTGCACTGCCTGTGAAAATTTGTTGTAAAGATGAAGCAGGACAATTGATTGATATTTCAGAACATCTTATTAAAAAGGGTTTGGCTTTTAGAAACAGAAGGTTTGGATACTTTTCTTTTATATTCTTTCAGAGTCTCATAGTTGCATCGTGATAAGCTAATGAGTAAAACAAAAATTTGGATTGTCCTCTACAGCGTACGTAGCAACAAAACTCCATCTTTAGTGAGCTCACCTGCTTATAACATTATTAGTTGTATCCATTGCACATTTCAGTTCTCTAAGCTGGTAGATGAGATGTTTGACAGTATTTTAACGAGCATTTGCCATCTTTGTAAGTCTGGTGTTTGGGGGTTTTTTAATTTTTTTTCACTTTTCAAGTTCTTTGTCAGTTAATATGTTGATATGATTTGATTGAATTTGCTAGAACTGATAAAGCTGATGTGGCTTGCACAGTCTCCAAGGAACATCCTAGAGTACATTTAGAGCAAGAGAATGCACAGCTGGATGGTTGTAATTCAGAAACTGCATGTGTGAAAAACAGCACTGCTCCAGAGGAGTACATCACTGCTGCAGAGAGTGAACGACAGTCATGCAAAACATACATGGCACCGCTTCATTCAGGAATGGATGAAATGTATAAATCCCCCATTATACCTGAAGCAAAAATTTTTCAAGCTGTCGTAAGTTGCGTTGGACATGATGGAACTATTTATATAATACCAAAATCATTTGGTAAGATTACATAGAGGAAAATACGTTTCTGTGTCTGAATCCATATTGCTTTGGTATATCAAAATATACGTGCTCTGTTCTGTATCAGAACACAGTTATGGAAGATTCCTACTGGGGAGGAGTGCTGTTGGGAGGTGATGGGGCCATTAGCGCATGGGGCGAGGGGTACCTACCCCGGCACCCCATGCTCTGCAGTGCTGGGAGAGGTCCCGCAGTGTCCCAGCAGAGGAACCCAAATCCCTAGCAGAGCAGATGGCATCCTGCCCACAAACCCATCGCAGTGGGTGCTCCTGACCTTCTGCCCTCCCTAGACACCAAAAGCCCCCAGCACTGGAGTGGGCAGGTTACTTACTTCTCTTCTCTAAGCAGTGTTGGGTAAAGCAGCAAGTACTTTATTTTATAATGTTGAGATTGTGATACATTTTACTACTAATAATGAAGATACAGTCCTAAAGATTCTTTGAAGTTAATCAGGTTCTCAAAGTACTAGTGGATTTCTTTCCTTCAGTGTAAGCTCAGTATCCAGTTTCATTGGGCCCTTTTTTTGTACTGTGATAGATTCTGTATCTCTTAATATTTTCTATTTGTGCTATTTGAAAGAGATACATTTTCATCTGACAGATCAAGGGTCAGTCTTCAGTACCGTGATAGTATATTTTGCTTTAGAGAAACGTTTCTATATGAGAACTTCTTTTTTAACTCTACAAATACATTTAAGTATTAAATTATAACATCAAGCTTTAAAATTCAGAGTACCGTAACCCCACTTGCCCAGGACTGTATTCTTCTTGCAGTTCCTGCTGTAGACTGTACCCAGAGCAGAAGAGGGTCTTCTGGACACCTGTTCTGTGTTGTTTCATGGTGCCCTACCACTCTCTCAGGGAATCTGTTGCCTTGTTCATGGGGAGGCTCTTGTATTGCTGCTGCTAAGGTGTCAGTTGCAAAATTTATAGATTCTTCTACTTTGAATACAGAGTAGAATACAGAATTACTAATGGCTTCACAGTTGGAAATGCAGTTTACTTTTTTGTTTAAGTAGTAACTTGTTTGCATATGCTAGATGTTGAAAAATGATTTTTGGAGCAGCACATGTATATTATGTTAATACATGTTTTCATCTGAATCTGCTGGGTTTTAGTGATTGAAATAATATGCACTAATATGTTATAGACTCTTTTGTTTGATTGGTTGGGTTTTTTTATTCCTCCTTCCAGAAACTGCACTAAACAAATTGATGACTGAAATGCAGAGTAACTTCAAAGGCCTTGGGCTTATGCAACCCTACTGCTGGAAAAATGGAGAAGCTTGTGTTGTAAGAGGATCAGATACCTTGTGGTATCGAGGTAAAGTTGTGGAACTCGGTAGTAGTGCTCTCCAGGTAAGTTTGATTATATGTCGTGTGTGTGTGTGAGACCATGTATGCATGTATGTTAAAAAAAAAAAAAAAATAAAATGAGGGGGGGCCAAATACTCTAACCCTCTAAAATAAATTTATGATGACACCTTTTTGCATTCAGCTGACCTGACTATCCAGATGCTCATTCTACTTAAAAGTGCAATAACTGTCCTGATTTTTACTTTTACTTTAAACATAAATTCTGCATGCCTATTTCAGTTGTCAGAATTTTTCCCATAGTCTTCCTGGTGATGATAAGTATTTTTAAGTAAAAAGCTACTCTTGATCACCTGTAAATAATCCCTTTTAGATTTTTTTTCTTTTGTTGTTGTGACCATATGTGGAATGCTTTGAAAATACTTAGGTTTAGTGTCCTTCCACCCTGTCCCCACCAAAAAAAGTAGTGGCTGTCTGTTTTGAATTCATTCTGCTGCACAGGTATAGAGCTACTTTTTCTAATTAGTAGCTAATCTTACCTAAACTCTTTGAGTCTGCTTATGCTTTTTGAATGTAGATTTGCAAGTCTGACACTGTCATAGTTCACAAATTTTTTTTATTTCTCTCAGTTTTAAACTGTTGTAGATCATTACACAAAAGGTAGGATCTTTTGCAAGACAAGTTTAGAAACTGAATTTCTGATCTACCAGAACAATTTTTTTTAATCCTTTTCTTCATTTCCACTTTGTCACATCGCCTACTTAACAGCAACCTGTTCCTTTTTTTCCTTCAGAAAAGTGAATGCTGAAAATGAACAATTTCACTTGACTTAAAAAACAGGAATTATTTCAGGAAAGCTTTTGTTTTCATATAGGTACACTACATAGACCATGGTTGCACCGAGAGGATTCCTCAGTGTCATCTGTATCCAACTACATTGTATACTAGTGTTCCTCCATTATGCATACCATGTCAACTCTACAAGACAGTACCAGTGAGTAATGGTAAATTTGAAGATGTTTTAGTAGGTAGTTACTCCAATCAGTACACTGTTCAGTCGTACAAAGGTTGAGACTAGTTGCTGGTACTTTTTTCTTGGCTATGAGGATTCAGAGAATATGAGGATTGTTTCAGGAAGGCAGCCCTGCTTTGGCAGAGAGGCTGGACTAGATGATCTCCAGAGGTCCCTTCCAAGCCCTGTGATTCTGTGATTGTGATTCCAGATTGCTTTACGAAGTGACCATGCTTCAAAAGCAGCTGTCATTGGAATTAAATCTTTGTGAGACAGAATACTGCAGTAGTGGGCAGGATGATACTCTGAAGTGGTAGATTGTTTTTCAATAGCAGCAACAAGAAGTAAGGCCTGGATTTCTTAATGCAGAATGGCCAGAAAATGGCCTTCTTCACATATCATTGTCTTACTCAAATTTGAATGGTGCATCTAGTAAACGTGAGTTGGTGAAATTACTACCTTAGTTTTAAACTTATTTTTAAAGAAAATGCTGGAAGCAGTTCAACTGGTAGATTAAGAAAGGCAGGCTTATAATGATGATCCGAGGGCTGGAGCACCTCTCCTGTGAGGGCAGGCTGAGAGAGTTGGGACTGTACAGAAGGCTCTGGGGAGATCTTATAGTGACCTTCCAGTACCTGAAAGGGCCTACAGGAAAGCTGGGGAAGGACTTTTCATAAGGGCAGTTAATGACAGAACAAGGGGCAATGGGTTAAAACTGGAAGAGGGGAGGTTTAGGTGAGATATGAGGAAGAAATTTTTTCTTACGAGGGTGGTCAGACACTGGAACAGGTTGCCCAAGGAAGTTGTGGATGCCACCTCCCTGGAAGTGCTCAAGGCCAGGCTGGATGAGGCTTTGAGCAACCTGGTCTAGTGGAAGGTGTCCCTGCTGATGGCAGGGGGGTTGGAACTGGATGAGCTTTAAGGTCCCTTCCAACCCCATACCTTTCTGTGGTTCTATGATAAGCCTGTGGTTTGGGAAGCAAACAGGTATTTCGGGGAATAAAAGACGTATATGAAGTATTCTGTGTTTTCTGTTGTCTGAAGTTATCTTCAAGTGTAATTCTGTATCTTTGGGTCATGCTTCGGGTAACTGTGCACACATACGTTATTATGTGTACAGTAAAGGTTAGACTTGGCAAGCAGAATCTCCTTCTAAGCCACTTCAAGATCTGAAAATTGCTGCTCGGCTTTGGGACACAGTGAGTTTTAATATACCAAATAGCAGATAATGTTTAAACTGTTGCAGACAAATCATACTAATGCATGTTTTCAAATGAGTTTTTCAATGATAGGCACGTATTTTCATATTACTGTGTTAAAAAATTACTTGTCAGCATGTTAATGTGTGGGAGTTTCTTGCTTTTCACCAAACAGATTGGAAATTTTTGGCAGCAGGATGCAGTAGATTGCCTTCAAGAACTACTTACAAATGAAGAGGTTGAAATACATGTTCAGGTAGCTTAATTTATTCATAGATGTGAAATTAGGCTTAATTTATGTTCTCTTTTTTTCTTTTTAACTTGAATTATGAATAATAGGTGAAGGAGTGTAGCAGTAAATGTATTTCTTAGACAAAACAAAATCCAAAGCTAAAGTAATTTCTTCTATCACTTTACCTTTATTATAGTTTTCAGGCCTTAAATGTGTCCTTTAGAGGTATTAATATTTTTTGTTCCTGTTTGTACTCTGTGTTGGTATTCTGAGAAGCAACCTACCTACAAACAGCATAAATTATTCTAAATTCAATTTTAAGTTATTAATATTTGGCATAATTAAGTATGGACATGCTTAAATGTATATATAAACACTGTAGGGCAACACATAATCTGTATTGCCTGAAAGCCTGCAATTTCAGACAGTTCCATTTCTAATGATAAATCGTGAAAGGGTGAGCAAACATGAGATAATGTTTTGGTGTTGGACTGAATCGTCAGTGCTGCCATTCCAGAGGTAGGACAATTCCTCTTTGAGTCGTAACTGATGTTAGTGGCCATCCTTACTGGGTTTGTATCTTTGCTGAATGGGTGCAGCACATACGGGAGTGACGGGTTTGAATTTCCTGGTCGCTGTTTCTAAAACTTCAGTCACACTATTACTGTTACAATCTTATTTTGTCTTGTGTAAGTAGGAGTTACCGGATAACCCATGGGGCAAGTTGTCCATCGACCTTTATTTTGGTGGAATGTCGCTTTCTGCCTTCATGGCTTACCGGAAGTACTGCGTTGCTGAGGACTGTCAGGACATACCAGAGTTGGTGAGATTTTTGTGTGTGTGTGTGTGTGTGTGTGTGTGTGTGTGTCTTTTGCTGTTGTTACTCTGACATTAAAAGATTGCTCAGTTGCTTGTTGTGACCTTTGATTTGTTGTTTCTTTTTATATTTCTGTACAGTTTTGTGCTGTAAACAGCAGTAAGAGTAAGTACCCAGCTCTGTAGCATAACAAGTGTAGATATGATGTGTTGGTAAGATGGTACAGAATAGTGAATTGACAAGAGTTTGCTCTTGGACTCCTTACTGAAAAGAGATTTTTGTATTTATGTTTAAAATCCAATTATTTTTTCTGTTCCTCTAAAGCTTTAAAGGATACAATTAGGGTAATATTTTTATCACTTGAAGGGTTTAGTTAATCCCAGAAATATATTCAACGATGGAGATACTCAAAAGTAAATTTAATCAAGTATTTCATCATAAACCGACTGATTTCTAGGGGAGTTACCTAGGTTCTTCATTCCAAGTGTCTGGCATGTTCATCTGGTGTTCTTTAGAGGAGGATTGAAGTTTTCACCAAACTTCATTGTCTTTAACACACAAAAAAAAAAAAGATAAGTAATTTCTCTGTATTTTTTTTCCCTTGAAACCTGAGGATCAGGTTTCTTTAAATTACTAAGGCTTTTTTGTTGCATTTTTCTCTTCAATTTTATCTAAGCCTGCCAATGTATTTTTCTTTCCAGCATGAGTTTCTGAAGCAGAAGATGATTTTACAATACAGAATATGCTGCTGTCACTGCTGATACAAGTCTTGGCTTGTATACAAGTGATGCAGTTACAAAAATCTCTGTGTGTATTAGAACTGAGTAACCATGGAAAACCTAATTATAAATCAGTCTCTTGTTGCATTTTCATAAAGTCAGCACATGACACACAACTTTCAGCAAACTAAATAAGGATCTTGATATGAGATTGTATCCTTAAAACAGAAATGAAATTTGGAAAATCAAAAATAAAGCTGTGTAAGAAGGTTGTAAGCAAGAAGCATTCAGAAAGCCTGGAGTGCTTTCAGCAAGGAATTGTTAAGCAAGCGTTAAGCACATCCATTCCAGGATCCAAGCCTGGGTGAAGGACCTGGGCTTCAAATGACTTGGACATAACATCAAAGGCCAGCCATGTGGGTTGAAGGCCAACAGTGTGATTCATAAGTCCCTCTGACACCAAGAAGACCTGTTCTGTCACTAATGTTTGCAACAAGACTAGTGGAAAAGCGTTCTGCAAACATCTAGCTAGAAAGCTCTTTCTGCTTTCCTGTTGTCAGTATGAGGGTAGAGTCTAAGATTATCCTGTCTGTTTCGGGGAAATACAGAATCTGAGACGAGCCAGACTATCACTTCTGTCTTCATCACCCTAAAGGTGTCTTTAATGCCTCACACTACTGGGTGGGCTCGTGAAGGCTGTTCACAACATAGCTTTGCACGTGGTAGAGAAGGAAGTACAACATAAGACACTGCACTGCAGCCTACTGTTTACTTAGTTTGGATTAAATTGTTCATGCAGAAAAGCACTCTCGTGTTGCCCTATTAAATACACAGTATGATGTGATGTGTAAATTATATATTAAAAATACATAATTTCTGCTATGGCTTTACAGATGTAATGAGGAATGTAAGCCATTTTTAAGGAATAGACACAAAGGCAGAAAGGTTGAGGGACAACTGTTAGAAACAGGTAACTCCTAAAGGTATCTTGGTAGAACATCTTTTTAATAGCAGCATTTACAGCTGGACTTTCTTTGCCAAAGTGTGGTACATCTTGCAGAAGCCACTCTGACAACAAGAAAAAGACTGTTAAGGTAAACAGTAAAAACGAGAATGGAGTGATTTTAAAGACACTCACAAGAGCTGACTAAGATACCCAGCTGAGCTAGATGCAGTGCTCAGTTGGGAATGAGCTGGAATTTAATTTGAATCTTTAGAGCCAGGTGTAGTCAGTGTTCCTAATAGTTTTGCAGAAATCTGGCATTTAGCTTGTTTGTGTCTGATACAGTTACACATCCTGTCTTTATTAGTATTTGTCAAGATAGATTTTTATTTTTTTTTAAATCTTAGAAGTACATACTTGCAGTGGAAAAACTGTTCTTCTGTGGGTTTTTCCTAATAGGTTTTTGTACTGTGTCCTATGCAGGGTCAGTTTTATTTTTGTGGTTACATATATCTGGTTGCTTCCGCTTTTCTTTTTGTTCTAGGCATAATGAAAACTGTTTGTCAAATAGATGTGTAAAAATAAAATGTGTTTTGGAGAAACTGTCCTTTTGTTATATATCACACTGAAGTACAAGCGTGAATAGGAGCTGTATTCACGGCCTGTGATCCAGCTGAGCTATATGTCCTTACAAACGCATAATTTAATGCACCAATGTTTATTTTGTTGTAAACCAAATGAGTTAATGGCATCTAGAACTCAAACTGTAAAATATGTGGTTCTAGAAGAAGACACACTGGAACATGCTATGCTAGTGAGACAACAGGTATCTGTACTTTGCAAAATCTGTTATCTTTTGAAAGAGTGATAATTCTGGTGACTAAGGAGTTAAATTGTCCTTTGCCTTTCTCTTAAGGGATAACTTCCTCAGCAAACTAACATTGAGAGTGGCATTCAGGTTAATCTGTGCCAGTTACCTGCTCTTATTTTAGTTCTTTCTACATATTTTTCTCTCCAAAGAGAATTCCATATTTAGTGTATTTTTTATTAATGGCAATCAAGTTAGCAAATCAGTATGTTAGGACCATTTCAAAGATGTATTATTTATATTTTAAAAGTATTAATTAACTAGTTCTGTTCTCTTTTAGCTAAAGCTTTTGGAAAAAGTATTGGAAAAAAAATGTTCATTAGTATTTTTCATTCAAGGACACACTGCTTACATTATTGGAGAACTCCTTTGAACCAGAAATTACACCAAAGCTATTCTGCCTTTTGTTGCTAAATATGATGCTTGACTGAAGTCTGTCTTGGTCTAGGACCTACTTCAAGGAGATGTTCCTGTTTCGCGTTCCTACACATTGCCACCGCTGCCTATTCCAGGAGATACTTTTCCTGTCAGAGTTACCCATTTGGTGTCCCCTAAGGAGGTGCGTTTTGTAAACATCTCATATATGTTGCAGTCCTGTCATGCTGGTGGAAAGGAAATCATGGCTAACAATTTTGGATAATATAATAAAATATTAGGTTGCAAAATGCTGCTGAGTTATTGTTGGTTGTCCAGTGCAAATATCTAGATGAACTCTTTATTGAAAATACCCTCTTAGGTGGGGGCAGAGCAATAAATACTGACCACTTCCCTAAAAAAATGAATTTTAAGAATTGCAATACTGCAGTCTGGTACTTACCTTTTATAATAAGAAAACAGGTAATTGGATTTTAACTTTGGAGAATAATAACGATTTATGTCTTATTATTCTACAAAAATTAAATTACTGGAACCTTGTACAGTAATGTGAACATTTTCTGTCTGCTACAAAAAATGTTCACATTATTTTATTGCCTTTGGTCGATGATTGATCTTTTTTTTTTGTGTGTGTGTAAACCCACACAGCTTCCCTCTAGTAGTCTCCCAGGCAAAAGGCAGAATGTAATGTTCATTGATCAAATAAAAGATTCCTGTGTGGATTTTGAATGTTGAATGATGCAGTAGGAAAACAGGAAGCAGCAAGAAGCTGATCATGTTACAAAATCTTAACATCTCCTGAGTGTTCATGATTCAGCATCGTGGTCTAATATAAATTCGCCCAACTAATGCACTTGAGTATATGCATCTTCAAAAAAAAAAAAAAAAAAAAAATGTATAGTGTGTGTATATGGCTCTTTTTACTAAATACAAAATGGAGTGTTTGGGTGTCAGAAAAGGGCTTTTCTTAAATTGTGTATTCTGATTCTTCTCTTAGAGGAGAAACATTAAAATGAATATTTTTTGGTTAATTTTGTGCAAATAACTTGAACTCTTACTTTTAAACATGGTGTATGATTTTAAACAGTAGATCCTGCTCTGGATTTACATAGATTTAAGTAGCAGTTGCATGATGGGAGTTGCAGCTTGATTGTATTGTGTACAGATTTGAAAATTAAAATTAATTTTCTTCCTGGCTAGTGAATTATAATGCTGAGTTTAGAAAAATTGATAACCTCCTCATTAATTTGTTTGGACTTGGATTATCAGTAAAATATCATCATGTTCTGAAATGGCTCTGTTTAAAAGAAACTGTTAAGTAGATTTTAATTTGCATGTGCCTGCTGTTTAAACTTTCATTTCCTTGACCTACAGCGTTATATTGATGATCCAGTTATAAATTAGGTGAAGGGAATGTCTTTGCATAGCAAACAAAAGACCATTTCAAAAGTTGTTCTTTCATTAACTTTAAAATTAATCTTTGGTTTGATATTACGAAGTGAGATTATTTACCAAGTAGCAGGTGGGAGGAATCCAGGTAAGACAAAGCTGTGAAATCTTGTATGGGTATATTCTCTAGTATGTGCATTCCTTTCCTTTCATTCTTAACTTTTTAACATTGGAATGTGGTGTTAATAAAATTATGACTCTCTTCTGCTTTTGGAAAAAATCATATATAAATATGAAATCATTCATAAATTGAAGAAAGAAGAAAGGGGAGCCAGGATGTGCTGAACCTTTTGAAGACGGGAACAAGTAATCTAATAATCTTTGATCACTCATTGAATTTAAAGGTTTTAAATCATCTGCAAAAATTGTAATATGAGAGCTTTTTCTTTGAGTAGGTCTATATCTGTCTTGATCCTTCCAAGAACGTTGTGAAGCAGTCTGCCACAGAGGGAGATGCCAACTGTGACGTATTCTTGGAGAGCCTTGATGAAGCCCTCAAGTGGTGCAATAAAAGTGTGGAATCTCTTCCTCTAGTAACACACTTTGAAGCAGGTATAATCCTGTGTTTATTTTCCCTATTGTTTCATGTGGACATACAGAAAGCCTGAAACTACTTCTGAATAATAGGAATAATTGTATTTCTGTGTATATTTAAATAAAACTTCTGGAGAGTAAGAAGTAACACTATGCTATAATCATATCACAGAATGGTAGGGGTTGGAAGGGACCTCTGAAGCTGTAACTGTGAAAAACTTGCTATTAAATATTCAAAAGACACAAGTTATGTACAGAAATTTGTGTTTACCAAGATCACAAAGTTATGTGAACCCTAAAGAGTATCACTTCACTTTAATTCTGGATTTCTCCATTTAGGCAAAAGAAGGGCTTTCATTTTCTTGTCCACAGCTGTTGGGCCTAAAATAACATAAAGTGTGTGGGTCTAGGACTTTCTGAAGAAACCAGTTATTGCTAGTTCTTGGTCCTACCATCTAGAAAATTCTGGTTGAGATTTTAAGCAGCATCTGCCTTGTGTCCTCCAGATTATTGTCTGTTGTCTTACAGATCAGTCTCTTTACTGAAATGTGCAAGTGAGTCAAAGTTGAAAAGTTTAAACAGTTTGCATCACTACCTTTACCAAGGAGTTTTCTGTGAATTCTCATCATTGCCATGTGAGATTGAGAAACTTGACTTAGATTGAATACTAACGATTGTGAATGGACTTCAGAGAGGATTAGAGGATTCTGTGCATAGAACAGAATAGTAGCAGGAACCAGGGAAGGAAGAAAAAACTTAATCTCGGTCACAAAATAAAATGGATTTTCAAGTTCAGTTAGTTTGTACTGCACTGTGAGTATATTTAGGGGTTTGTTTTTTGTTTTTTCTTTTTACAGAAATGCCTTGCCTTGTAGAATACCAGGATGGTTTATGGTACAGAGCAAAGGTCCTCTCCATTGAAGAATTTGACCCTGTTAAGATCCTGGTTCAGTTTGTTGACTACGGTAGTTTTTCAGTTGTCCCAACAAGCAGGTAAATACATAAGAAAAGAATGCATGTAAAATGTCTGTGTGTGTATGCATGTATACACTTATATTATAAAATATGTACTTAGAATTACATGTGCATGTGTTTTTTACATTTATTATTATTTGTTTTTACAAAACTATAGATATATTATTTACAATAATTTAGCATTAGATTTCAGTTGGAGAGAAAGTTGGTTGGCTGGTTAAGTAATTGCTGTCTGCTGGGTATGGGGTTGTGCACCTACTTCTCTTTCTTAGGTTGTTCCTTAGAAGCCCATTATTATAATATCAGATTTCTCCATCATCATGTTATTTAACCTGGTGAAGTAGGCTCAGGTTTGTAATCTGCTTTTGCACTCCTGAAGCTTACACAAAATAGGGACTAAGCCTTCCAGATGTACAAACAAATCCTCTGATCCCATGCAACAGCTGGGGAATAAGATAGGGGAGTATCGGAGTGGGATACACCCCACTCTGCTGGTGTGGAAAATGGAAGTTCAAATCCCTGTTCTGCCTGGTGCTGAACTGCTCCTGTGCTGACACACAGATGTCAGCTAAGTGTCTCAAACACCCCAGGCTTTAAGGGACCCCTAAACTTGTCTGAATTTTTTTCTCTTGAAGCACTGTCACTTTATATACATACTGCTTAATCACATTGACTTGCTCTTGAGCTCTCTGGGAAATCTACAGGTCATTGCTGAAGGTGAGGCGAAATGGGGATTTGAACAGATTTCCTCCTTCGTGGACTATTAGGGTCACTATTAGGGAGAGAGCGTGTTTTATTTCAGGGTTGCACTTCCTGCTCTGCTTCCCCATTACCTTACTTCTGGGATAGAAAGATGGGAGATGACAATATAAAACTAAGGTACTTATTTCCAGTAGTGTATCTAGAGCGCATCCAGGCATGAAGCACTTTGGACCAGAAAGGTCTGTGTCATTTCACAGAGACACCAGATCTGGAGCCTGCGTTGTGATGACTTGTGCTTGCATTCCTGTGCTCAAAAATGTGTTGGGCCCTGGAGACTCCTCCCCAGGCATTGCAGCGGGCAGCCAGTGTGCCTGGCGGGCTGAGGGATGTGTGTGACACTGGGCTGCTTTGTGACAGTTACTGTGCTGACGTCCTTCAGAGGGCCTAGTCCTGCCTGGGGAATTGTTTGGTCTGACGCCAGCATGTTGTTGTAGAGCAGGGACTCTGATCCCAGTTTCCACGCTGTAGATGTACTGCATAAACCATTAAGCTGTCCCTATGTCTGTACTGACGGTTGAGCTTGACAGGTGGATTGTTGCAGGCAAACATTGTCCATTTTTGTTTTAGATTGCGCCACATACCTTATAACCTGCTGAAGTACCCTGTTCAGGCAGTACGAGCTCTGTTGGATGGATTTAAACCTGCTTCATATGATGAAGACGTGAAAAGAATTCCTTATTCCCCGGAATGGAGTGTGGAAGCATTGTGGGCTATGATGGAGTGCGTTGAAGGAAAACAACTCTCTGCTTCCATGCTTGTGAGAAACTTAACCCCCCCCCGCCTCCTAGTTTTTGCTCAGCCTGAAACTCTTACTGGCATTCTGACTATAATTTCTGAGTATCTGTTTTACTGTGAACCCTCGTAATTTAAAATTGTGAACAATTTACCATGAGGGAATGCTGGTGAAGAGAGAAAATCATGTGGTGCTCTTCTTAATCCTCCAAACAAAGTTTCTGAGCATTCCTGTTTATTTTAAAAGCAGTTTCCTTTACTTAAAAACAGCGATATTTTTTGTATATTGACAGTTCCACTTAGGCAGTGAGTATAGCCAGTAAAATAACTCTTACTATTGGTTACCTTGAGATTTAAATCTGTTCCTGTTAAAACTCTTGTCAACTTCTGGTTTTCAGGCTCTTTCACCAGAGGTCACCATTTCTTTGTATGAAGATGACAAAAAGCTAGTTCATATGAAACTGATAGAAATGAGACTTGCAGAGTTGGATGAGCAACATGTAAGTACAGTGAATGTGAACTACATGAACTACACATTCATACTGTGACAAAGGTATGGCTTCAGAAGTTTTAAGCAAAGCCTTAACTGTCAGTAATGTTGACAACTAGAGTTTATTTAAAAAAATAGTTCCCTTCTGTCCACGCTTCCACTCTTCTAATAAAATAAAATGCTGTTAAAAAATTGAATTTCTATGTACACATTACTGAAGCCCACAGTATAGTTTCGAGAACTAACAGGTACTGAAACCAAAAGCCCTAAGGCAATACAACAGAAAGGGGTTTTGCTGCCTGTAACTGAACAAGGTCACTTGAAGTGTGGCAGTGTCGTCTGACCAATCAACACTAATTGTTTTTCTTCATTTTCAGCATTTGAACTCAACGTCCTCTGCCAGTGGTTCTCAGACCAGTCCATAATAACATATGGATGTCCATACATCTAGTTAAACCTGGAATATTTTTAAATAAAAAGCTTTATAGCATGTGTCATCTGCAGAGAATACTGGAGACTTGGATTTTCAAATTTCTTGGCCAACTCTTTGTTAAGTAAAGTAGTCCTTTTCCCTCCCTTTTAATGAGCGTTCTTCTAACTGATGTTTATAAATAATGTTCCCAGCACTTTGAATCTTGAAACAGTGAAACTATATATTCACATCTCAGTCTCTTGACCTTAGAGCCTTAAGTATTGTTCTGTGATATCCTTTTCATAACAGTAGGTAGAATTAATGTGTAGTAGTAAAGAAATGGATACAAAGCTGATGCTGGGCACACTTGTTCTAGTATCTTGTTAGAAGACTTAGAGGAAAGATGATAGTTTTATTATTGTGATGTAACTTTTGTTTGTGTTTAGGTCATATTTGGTGACATATTTCTCCAGTATCAGAGTCTGGAATCAGGAGTGGGGGAGTGTTACTACCTTTGTTCTGGAACATGTTTGCATTGCTGCTGTGTTTCTTGTTTTCAGTGATGATGAGATGGGTGTGTTTTGGGTGTCCTTGCACCTCTTTCCTATTCCTGGAGCTGCAGTGTTCATTTGAAAGTGTTGGAATAAAGAGGAGATTGCTCAGCACACATCTGAAAGCTTGTTTTCCTTTACTGCTATAGTACGTAAGGTTTATGTGGATGTCTCCATTGTACCAGTGTGGTAGACCCTTTACATTTAAAGCTTGGCCCCTTTCAGTCTCCCTGTGGAGAATTTTGTCTAGGTTATCAAGGAGAAAACCTGCACCATGAACATTCTGCAACCTCTCTGGGCAACCAGTTCCAGTGCTCAGTCACACTCACAGTAACGTTTCAGTTTGTGCAGGTAAAATACATACCCTTATGCATGTCTCTTCCCTCAAGATCACATGAAAGCAAGTGTCCAAACCCTCTCTGTAGCTTTGCTCGGGCATGCTGCAAGGGCAGCTTGCCTGTCTGTATTGGCAGTGCAAGGGTCCCTTCAGTTTCAGTACCTGTTCTGGTATTCATCAGACACATGCTGTATGCTGTTGCAAATACCTATAGAGCTGTTGTGTGCCGTCCTCAAATATGTTTCTTTCATTATTTTTATTTAAAAAAAAAAAAAAAAATATGAGTTATCATGAAAGGGACTTGGCCATGAATTATATGAGAGCTGCTGTTTATGATTGCCAGGACCTGTCTATCCACCCCACCAAGCAACTTGTAATTGTGAGTGCTGCAAGTTCGTTTACCCCTTGAGTAAAAAAGGGCACAGGGGGGCTGTGGGGAACAAGGGGAAGAGGGTGAGTATCTTCTCCTGTGCAAGACTCCAAGAGTACCACTTTGCTTGTAGATACTCCAGAATTTTAAAAGACAAGTCAGTTTAAAAATGCCTGTTGGGTGGAAGAATTGGATGGGATTACCTTTGAGAAACACCTCTGGTGTTTCCTTCCACATTTCTTAAGTAGCTTGGAGCATTAACCTGTCCCACAGCCTCACCTGTCCTAGCCTCATGAATATAGAAGAGGAGTTTACAGAACAGACTCTGGGGTCTGCTACTGCTGTTGCCTTTTAACTGTGAGATGAAGAAAAAATAAGATTATGAGGGAAGAATAACAGCCTAAGGCTAACTGAAAACAAATACTGCCATTTGTATGTACTCTTAAGTCAAGCAATAAGTAAAGTCTTAAATCTGGCCTTCTGCTGTATTTCACCAGAGCAGGGGTTCCAACAACCTTTTATCCTGAAGAATCTTTTCTCTTAGATGTCTGAAATAATCTACAGCTGTTCAGTGAAAATTCATCGACAGCTGAAGATTAAAAAAAAAAAAACAACAACCTTTAAACTATACTTAATGGAATACTGAATCATTAAAAGTAGAAATGGGAAAAAATTAGAAAAGGCTCTGATGTAGTAACACCCACTGAAAAATAAATTTATTTCAGGAAAACTATAAATAATCTATACACAACCAGCTTAAAGAGATTTTGCTTCTTGTTTACAGGAATGTACATTATTTTTGCTGATGTGCTAATAACACTTGGAAAAGTTTGGACACTGCCTACAACTTGGTGTCCATGATAATATTGCCATCCTTGTCCTTTACTCTCACTCTCCCAGAGACGTACTTTGTTTCCTGCTGTCCATTCACGTACACAGTCTTGACAGTCCCATCTGGATACTCCCGTCTCTTGAACTGTGATGTGTGTAGTTCTCTCTGGCCATTATTGAACTCTATAGTTTTGCTTCCATCTCTGCATTAAATAAATATAAGTTTAGGGGTTTTTTTAAGTCATTGTAAGGACTATACATAGACTTAAGCTTAATCTCAGAAAAAAAAAAAAAAAACACCACTAAATATGCAAGTCTAAATGAAGGAAGACCTTAAAAAATACAGTATTTGTGAAAATCCTGTTTTGTTAAATATTATCCCAGCTGGTTGGTACTCAAAACGCTGTTTCTGCAAAACTGACGTGACTTCTTTATACTTGAGAGCCTCTACCCCCCTTTCTCCCCCCTAAATCTATTGCTGCAACAGTCCAAGTTTAAAATTAATGTTTTGAGTGCTCTCAGTGGCAATGTCAGGCCTGCTTCCCACACTAGCTCGGTTCTCGCGTGTTCTCTAGAATTATGCACAAATCTGAAAAATCTCTCAGGTTAGGGTATGAGAAAATCCAAAGCAGCATTCAGTCTTTATGCTTCCTGCAAGCTACCAAACAAAGAAACAAAAAAATTTCAAACAGTAGAAACATGTTCAAAGTACAGTATATGCAAATATCAACCTATAGATCTGCCACCATAAACTGCATCCATCTGTGAGTCCTGACTGCTCCTGTCCCAGCAACAGGCTGGGGTACCTGAGCTGAGAAGGTAAAGCTTACCGCTGAATACGAACGATAGTACCATCTGGAAAGATACTTTCTTCTTGCCCATCCATAAATAAATTTTTGATAGTTTGATCAGGGAAAGTAATTTCTTTCTTGCCATCAGGATAATGCTTCTCTGAAATGCATTTTGAAGCAATATGCTTATTACGCAAATACGGGGGGGCGTATATATATTTTTATATATATATATATGGCCAGCAGTTTTGAGGGCTGGTTGGGTTGGATGATTTCTTTACCTATTTGTCCATTTGAAAACTGCAGGACCTCTAAGCCATCAGCGTATGTAGTGTGTGTAGTCTTAGCGTCCGCATAATAATAAATCTGCAGAAAACAGATTTAACATAACTAGTGAGAATTTTTTTAATGTGTGTGTACACATGTGTGCATAAATAAGTATTTATAGAAAAATACAGAGGATGTAGAATACATACCACGGTTTGATCAGGCATAACCTGCTTCACATCCCCATTGAAGAAGGTTATGGTTATGGTCTTCCCATCAGAACCCACTTTCTTCCATGTCCCATTTGGGAAAAATATGAGGTGACAGCCATTCTTCAAAACCTTTTCAACCTAATGAATACGTAACAGAGAGGTCAGTGTTGAACCATCACTCCCACACACTCACTCCTTTCACAACAGCCGTCTCGTGGAATGTTGGAGTGCAGAGCCCTCATTTTACCTTTCCATCAGGGTAAGCAGTTTCTCTCGCTATCTCTTCGCTGTCTGTACATGCAGGTCCAGATGGTAGTGACACATGAGCTTCATTAGGAGACGTGTCCTGAAATTACAACAATAATCCAAGCATAAATTCAAATTGAGCTTTGTCTTTACACAGGTTTTTTTCCTAGGCTGACAGGTATTTTAGGAAACAAGGTGCATCAGGGGAAGGAGGCAAGTCTAGGCAGGCATAAACACAGTCTGGGTTTTATGCAACTCCTACTATAACTGAAGCAGTCAGACAGACTGAGACTCGGCAGTAATTGGGTATCTGTGGTCAGCTGTAGTCAAAACCAAAGTGAAATTCAGTGTTGTGTTGTGTTGTAGCATGGTGCTCAACTGCCTTGGGTCCTTATCAAGGTATGAAACATTTGTTGATAAAGTTTCATAAAACCTGAATGCTACCCACAGCAATTAATGTAAGAATTAATTGAACTTGTTTACAAGCTTCTTGCACAGTTGCGCTGCAAAGAGCATATGAACATCCATCTTTTTCCCCCTCTCTCAAAAGGTAAAACATTTTGCAAAATTCAAGGGGGTGAAATTACTATTTTATTTTCTCAGTCAAAGGATGTTGCAACTGCTAGACACAGGTAAAACACTCTGCACTGACTACTACATAGCCATTTTCTGGTATGACAATAAAATTGCAGTTGAAGAATATAAGAAGCTGAGTCAACAGCTTCATCAGTCACCCTCCAGATACTCATTTAAGTACAAGTAACTATTGTTTTATTTTAGGCTTTTTCCTCCCCCTTAAAAAAATCAAATTGAGATACAGGACTTACTACCATAAAAGTTCTAGAAGAATCTTCCAGTGCTGTCGTTTTCTCATTGTTTCTGTCATTAGCAGATGCTGATGCAGGTGTTCTAGAAAGCTTTCCTACTCAGATACATGTAATGAAGGTAATTGAGACAGTAAAATTTAAGTACAGTTTAAGTGTTATATATGAGGTCAAGTTGTACAGGACACCTATATTTAAGTACAGTAGAAACTGAAAGCAGTATATTTATGAAAAGAATCAGCATAAGCCAGCTCCCTCAGGTATGTCATTGCTTCACCTGTCAGCAAGAAGCTACAGCTGAAGAATCATTGCAACAGGCATAATACCTGCACTTTCCTACTTCATTTCTGTAGATTTACAAAGGATTTTTCCCCCCTGGGGATCTAGACATTTTTAGTTATGCCTTATAATGAACAAACGAAGACTGATGTAAGCTTTTAACAGGAACTGACTGGCAGACCTTTCCCCGTCTCTCCTAGCACATTGGGAAAGATTACCAAAATAAAACCAGCAATTCTGGAATGCACACCTCTAAGATAATATGATGGTTGTTGAGCTGTCAGAGGTGGCAGAAAAGTACCCTC